CTAAAAATGTGTGAATAGCCTCTGTAAAGCCGATGACAGGCTTGGTTGCTACTAAGGTCGGAAGTGGTGGCCACTTCATTATGGAAGCACCTAATAGGTGGGCCGCTGTTACCTCCTATGAAAAAGTTGTCCATAGTTCTTTGTGTCATTTCGGTGGAATCGCAGCCACTGTCTTGGTGATTGTGTCCTTGCTTGGAGGGCTGTGGGACAATGTTCATACATTTGCACCGTCAAATGTTTCCGAAGAAAAATCGCAAGGTGATAAATTGGGTGACCTAGGGAGCCAGCCAATGTTTCCTCGTAATGAGAGAAGATGTCCAGGAAACAACTCTCTTAGAATTGCTAAAAAATGCCGCAAAGTGGAAGTTGTGTCTCTGTCATGTTGAAACCAGACTTTTCCATCTTCACGTTCCCCAACAAACTGGTTTAACTTAGGTTGGAGGAAGGTCTCAATAATGTGATAGTAACGATTTGTAGTAAACATTACCATTAGCCCATCATCTTAAAAAAAATAATAAGAAAGTCATATACCAAATTTTGCAATGGACCACCAAACTGTCGTATGAGGGCTGTGAAGTGGTAATTGGTGAAGTTTCTGGGGGTTTTCTGCCACCTAGTAGTGGAAATTTTGTTTATTTACAGTACCTGATAAGTGGAGGTGGGGCACATCAGATGAAATCAAAGCAGCACCAGGGAGAACGTTCTGAAGAATGTCCTGATATGCAGTCTTGGGAGTTTCAAAATCTCTCTCACTTAATTCTTGGGTAACCACCATTTTGTATGAATATGAAGATTTCACTGCAGGATTCGTCTTACATCCCTATCAGACAATTCCAGGGCAGCTGCATGTTTAAGTGCTGAACACTAGAGATTACTGAATAGATGCTTTCACATATGCCACATTTTCTGGTGTTGTTACAGTCCGAGGTTGGCCAGGCAATTTTTTTTTCAGCTTAGAACATTTTGCTCTAAAGTTTCATACCTAAGCGTGAATAGTTTTTCTCTCTTAAATAGGATCATATCAGCCAAGTTTGAATGAAATGAAAAATGCTCGCTGAGTAGAAATCACAGAACCACCAATACAAGTATACTCCTCCACAACAAATGCATCCTATATGTGTGTATATATATAAATATTACAGTCTAATTAGGTATCTCCAAAATCAATCAATAAACCTACTAACAAGTTGGTTGTAATTTCTTTTGCTATGGTGAACATTTTATGGCAATCGTTTTAACAATAAATTCAAAGCAGTCACTCCCTTTAGAGATTTTGCGGCAAAGTACTGTATTCCTGCAGAAATTTTATTACACACTTTTCCACAGTTGGCAAAAATTCCACGAGTACATATTTTAAAATTGTGTTTGAGGCAAAAAATATCATGATTTGTCTATTTAAAAAAAGCTGTGATTTGGATCACAACGAATAAATATTGAATGATCACAACAAATGAATAATATATATGAAAATGGTGATATTGCTTGATTGAAGAATTTTTACAAGTATGTTTGATTGAAGAATGGTTATATGCATTGTTGCCAGGGTTTGGCACGTTCTGAAAATTTGGAGACTTCTATTATGGTAATTGTGATAATGTATAAATAACATAAAAATTAATGTGAAGGTTGATCTGTATTTGAGGCACCAAATTATGCAGCTAAAAGAATACACTACACAACATAAACAAAATCTCCTTGAACATATAATAGGATATATACAGTTTACAAGTTATGAGCCACTGAAGATCAGAATCAACATGATGCAGATATTATTTGCCTCCATATCCACTTATCCCCGAGTCTTCTGCAGTTACTTCGGCATCCAAATCCAGATCCCCCTTTTTTGTCTTATTTATGAATTTTGCAGTGTAGATAGATCATTGTCAAATGTATCTGCATCATTCTGGGGCCTTAGAATATGTCCATCAGGTTCTGTGGCAGCAATATATCACTTATGTTTCTAGTGGTGGCTAAAAGTTTGAGATTGTATTGTAACACATGAATTTATATGTAACCTTGTCTTGTTGTCATTGTAACTGGTTCCATAACAAAAGCTTTGCATATTGCACCCAGTGTTAGTATCTTACCTCCCTGCATATAAGCTTTTATTCATGATACCTAAAATCCTATAGACCAGTTGTTGCTTTGTTAAGCTTCATGTTTTTATTTTTTCCTTAAGAAGTAGGAAGCTGCCATCACATTCACCTGTCTCTGGTGTTCATCATCTCTTAACTCTTAAAATATACATTTCCTGTATTTGTTCACAAGGCAATTTTTATTTATCTTTGGCCACAGTATGTTTTACCTGCATTTGGAAATTTTCTTCTGTTTCCCTGTGTAGTATAACATTTGCTTTTTACTGATGCTTTATGTCTTATAAATCAAAAACTATGTGTTTCCCAGTATATGTTCATAGGACAGTTTTAGATAGCCACAAAATGCCTTGCCAGTGTTTGGTGACTTTATTCTTGGGTACTCTGTGTAAGTAAAAAGTTTAAAAATTAGCTTTAAAGCAGTCCAGCATTTTGGTTGTTAGTCAAGTATCTTATTTTTTTTGCTGTTGTCTGGCAATACTCTATCATATGATAATCTTGCGTCCTATGATAATCCTGCATTTATTTTGCCATGCTTTCATTATAAAATATCTGCCAATAAGAGCCAAAAATCTTCACTTGGAAGTGCATTTATGGTGAATGACAACATCATTTCTTTGCACAGGTATGTCTACTGCTTTTGAAGTTTATTTGTAGACATAATACAGTGTTTTAGATTTTGTTAAGTTTGAGGGTTTGTTCATAAAGTAATGAGATTGGCCGCTATGCTCCAGTCGCACATTTCCCAGGGTTGGGATTTTTGTTGGGAGGTCTAAGCTAAGCAATGCACTGGGTGGCAGTTAACTTCCAAGCTCTGATCCTGTGAGGATCACTCATGGCACGAAAGCTGTTTCTGAGGTTTTATAACAGCATAAAACGTCAAAAATGTAGCATTCGTTTTAGCAGCTCTATACAATTAAATCTTACTTACACTTGGGCAAAACTACTCCCGAGATGCTTGCCTTGGTTAAGGAGGCTTACAAAGACGATGCCAATTTTTTCTGCTGATTCAGTGAGTTCACGAAAGGACAGGAGACCTTTGAAGATGTGGAGCTCTCTGGGTATCCTTCAGTGAGTGAGTTGGACAAAAATGTGACCAATGTGGAGAATCTCCTGGACTCTGACCATTGATAAGGAAGGTTTTTGTTAAATTGATGCCAAAAGTGTTGAGTGACGAACAAAAACAATGACAAGCTGGCATTTCCCATAGGACATTAGAGCTTAGCTACAGAAATCCTTCATTTGCAGTGTGGGAATTGTGTTGGCAGCTGTGTATCTAATTTGAAACTAAGACTAATTTGAAAAATTTTGATTATACATACCTATAGAATCAATAAATTCTTTTTACCAGACCCTGTCTCATTACTTTACAGACAAACCCTGTAGCTCTTTAGCCACATTCATCTCACACCATAAAAATCTGGGAGGGAGGATTGATTGCATATTCATACCACATGGAATGTAACATTTTTAGCTTACAAAACAGCAAGTTAATGGTGAAGTAAGTATGCAGTAAGATACTGAAACATACATGAAGTATCACTGTCCAAGAAACAATAAGCATTTACCAAAAGATAAGCGCAGATGAAGGTGAGGCCTGACCATCATGAATAGCTTTTTTCAAAATGACTTATAAAATCTCCATGGGACTAATATCTAGCATATATTTGCAGGTGTTGTGTACTACGCTTGGAACAAAATAATCTTTTATTGAGAGTGATAGAGCATTATCTGTAGAAAGTTGGAAACTGGTTGCAAAGCACACATGCAATGAATGGGTGGAGATACTACCCAAAATGTAACCAAATGCTCTGTCAAGTGATCTAAGTAAAATTGGTTGTTCTTTAATATCTTCATGAATTTTGCATGTCATAATATGGAACATTTTATTATCAGTCTATTAATGTATAATAAATATTTTACTAATTAGATTTTTAAATCTTTGGGGACCATATAAAATGTTACATTTAATTTTTAAAGACTCCTTACGTCCAACATGGAAGTTACTTTATTAAAACATTCTATTTCATTTAAAGAAATTTTGTAATAGGAAATATAAGTTTAGGATCTAAAAGTGTAACCTCCTTTTTATCTCCCGGAATATTCTGCACAAAATAATAGTTATTTATGCTTAACATTTAAAGGAGTATATGTATTTCTTTCTGCATTTAGGTAAACTTTAATGTAAAATAATTTACTACCATATTGTAAAAGCAAAAATATTTTAATTTCGTAAAATAATAAGGGAACAAATGTTTTTGAAGACCAAAAACAAAAAAGAAACCTGTTGAGATTGACCTGCTTTATAAGTTGTTTCTTATCATAAACTTTTTTTTAAGGAAAAAAAAGACTGAAATTGAGATCATGATAATGAACACTTATTTTTAAATTTGAAATTTCTTAGTCAAGAAATTTAACTGTCACACTGTATTTAATATACATTCTTAATATAAAATTTTATTTTATTCCTTCATTGTTTAAATCTTCGCCAATATAACTTTCCTGGAGTGTTAAGAAATTTTATAATAACCAAATGTTTTGAATATTAGATTTGTGATATCTTGAAGATTTTAACAGATGGCAGTGAAGTGAAAATTTGCTTAACAAATTTGTTAAAATAATATTACATTAGAGAAGTATGAATTTGATAAAGTCAGTTCAAGCACTTTAAGTATATGATTTGAAAGTTTAAGAAACTGAATAACTGAATATAAACATTTTATTTTGTGAAAACCATTCTGAAACCTTTAACAGAATTTTAAAATATGCTTCATTTATTAAGAATTTGTACGTAACTATTATTGAATAAAGCAGTTCAAAGTGTAATAGTTTATTGAAAAGTATTTGGAATTAAAAAGGAAATTTTAGAATTAGTTAATTCATTTATTAGTATGTATTGTTTCATAGGGTCATTTCTGGAAACAATTTCGTAGTGGTTTTATCCAGAGAAGAACATTAAAATGTTTAAGTGTAGCTGCAGATAATGCGTCAGACATAAAAAAAAAGTGAGTGATCATGATAAAAAATCATTAGTTTTACCTGCATATAAATATATATATATATATAGCATATATATTCAAAATAAAGTAATTAAAAGTAAATTAAAAAGCCTAAGACTTGCACTAAAGCTGCAAAGTAATAAATGTTTTATTATTGTAAATTATTATGAATTATATAGCATATATATATATGTTACCGTGAAAGACCGAAATTGGAGAATGTCGACTTTCACCAGAGAATATCAACATTCACTAAATACGTCAGTGAAAGACCGAATATTCACTACATTCTTGTATATTCGGACCCTCACCAGTGTATGTTGACAATCACAGATATGCTCTGGTGAAAGTCAAAAAGACAGGTCATAAAGTGCCATAATAGTTTTAAGTTGTTGCGATAAATAAGATTTGAATCACGTAATTAGTAAGTTTTTTATTACTGTTATTTTATTTTCTCATTTAGAATGTACTGTATAATTAAGTAAGTTTTTAACTTCTGTTATTTTCCTTTCTCATTTTGAATGTATTGTGTGTTTTAGGTTCTCATGTTCTTAAGTTCTTATTTCAAGTTACAAGTGCGTTTATTCGCGACTGAATTACGGAGAAGAAAATATAATATTGTTATATGTTCAACATTCACCATTAGTACATGGTGAATGTCGTCATTGACCGGTGTAAGTCAGAAATAAGAGTATTTGGAAAATATTTCAGACATACACCTAGAGACTATGTGAATGTTGACATTCACCGATGAAAGTCGACATTCTCCAGATTTCGGTGTTTCACCATAATATATATACTAGGAAGCCCGGCGGTCATATGAAATGACCACTGTTCTAGATATTATAAATTGTAATTAAAATGATTTGTGCAAAGATGTCTTCTAATTCAAACTGAATTACCCAGGGCAGGCAGCGAAGACTCCCCTTTGCTTACTGCCCCAGGGGGCTTCCCTCTTCTACTTGCTTAATTATTTAAAGTAGAAAGCAATGAAGGAAACACTGGCGGTACATTTTCTTATGAGCCACCGTTAGCTCAGTAAATAAAGGTGATTTAAATAATAAAATGTTAATTCACATGTCAAAGATCTCTTTGTACGCAATATTTCTAGTGTAGATCTTTTCATCATTTTTAAGCTCGCCTTGCAGAGGACCATCCATTATTTTTAATTTTACGTCCGTTCTTTCATGAACTCTTGAACAGACAACATAAAGTTGTCTGTGTCCAAATGCAGGCTCATGTAAAAAAATGCCAACACGTTTAAGCGTTTGGCCCTGAGACTTATTGATGGTCATAGCATAGGCAAGTTTTACAGGAAATTGTCTACGTCTCAATTGAAATGGCAACCCTGTGCCGTGGCAACTTCACCCCATTGGCTTTTACAGTTACCAGGGTTCGTACGGTCCTTAAAAGAGTCCTTAAAAGTCCTTAAGATTTTCGGAATTGATTTTTGGTGCTTAAAAGTCCTTAATTTTGGTCAAAATTGACGGAAGGTCCTTAATTTTAATCATCTGAAATTTCTGTCTGTTTTTACGACTGCCATTTTGGGTGTGAATTAGCATTTTGCAGGAATATTTTTGGCCATTCACTGACAAATATGGCTAATTTTTGAATAGGTTCATGAGTTATAATTTGTTCCTATTTGTAATATAAATAATGGTGGAAAAATCGAGTTTCTGAGCAAGAAGTGAAACATAAGCATTTCAAAATTATTTCATTTTTTGTAATGAAGTGCTCTCAAACAACTTGCCGCTTTTGGGGGTGTGAATTCTTTTATTAAACGGTTCTAAATTTTGCGATTATGAAAATTTTGGCGATTTTAAAATTGGTTTCTATAGAAAATTTTTAATTCCGAAATCTGGGAATTTTTCGACAATTTTTTAGAACATTCTAACGTTGATAAATTTCATTAAAATAATGGTAAATATTGGAATTATATTTAAGAAATAACATTAAAATAAAGCATTTTTATTTTTCACTGTCATAGTATAAAGTTTCATTTTGGCCACATATACAATTTTTTGATTATGAAAAATAAGCAAGGAATAATGCTATTCAGCACAGTTTACAAAACATTTTTTAGCAAAAGCAAAATAGCTATGTAATTAATTAAAAATGTCTTTTTAATTTTATTCATGTTAAGAATTTTTCCCATTTCTCAGAAAATGCATCAGTTTTCTCTATAAAATTAATTTCACACTTTTTTCCTCCGATTTTTTTCAAAAACATTTCTGGCTTTTTGCTGTTACAGAATTGGCAGGGGTAATTTTTCTGTAGGATTTTAGACATTGAAGCTTGGAAAGTTTAAAAAGATTTTAAGGCAAATTTATAGACCAACGATTCTAAAAGATTCCAGAAAATGTGATAAAATGAAAAATGTCTCCATGGTAGTAACACACAGTTTCTTACATTTTGAAGAACATCTGGAAGAACAATGAAAACATAATAAATCGTTGAATGTTTTACTTCTGATTCTAGAATCGCTTTCTTAACATTTTTATCTTCCCTTTATTTTCTCTACTTTTCACTAGATCAAAGAAATTATAAAAATAATTTTTTTTTATTAATAAAGAAATTGAAGCTGACAATTCAAAAGATTCATCTAATATGTCTTAATGCATCATACGCAGAGCTGGCGCTAGGCATTTTGTCACCTGACGCAATCTCTGTGGATCCTAAATTCTGCTGCCTGGTGCCTTTCTAAATTTTGCTTCCAATGCCTGCTCTAAATTCTAAAAGTTTTGCCATTTCTAGATTTTGTTGCTCAGTGTGTCCCTAAATTCTAAAACTTATGCCACACCAGCTCTGTGACCAGACTTTACCATATGTATTTCATATATCTTCTGAATGTTCGTATTACTAAAAGTTATAGGAAAGGGAAACGTATTGAAAAAAAGAAACTCAATATGTAAAGAGAAAGAAAATTATTCTTCAAAGATATGTACAGTTATTATTATGTAAATTACGTGTTAAACCTTTACCATGGTCACAAGGTAAAACACAAAAATATAAAAATTCATGTGAAACTTATTCTTTGCATCTCGTGAGACTTAATGCAAAACAACTTATCACCGCTAATGCGTTAGTGGCTTAATAGAACCTTTAAGTATATTAACTGAGTTACAACCTCTGGTGTGTATTTGGTGCATTTAAGTATGGCAAAGCATACGAGGGCTATCTGCCTAAGGGGAGGGATGCCTTCGTGGAGGACTTTCTAAGGGAAACTGGCTCGTAAACACGTTACACATGGGGAAAACCACGAAAACGCCCATGCAGCCAGCCCATTCGCGGGATTCGAACCTCGGACCGAACTACCAGTGTTCAGCGACTTTACCACTCGGCCGCTGGTGGGCCATACAACCTGTGGAACTCTACACAAAGCTACAACACTAACAGCGTCAGACAGAGGTCAGCTAACTTTCAAAACTTGCTAACTGTGCCTACATCAGGCCTTTCAGGTTTGTTCTAATCAGCAGGTCTCTATAGGCGAGCAGGAGCGGTGACAACAGCCAGTCTTTTGTTATGAATCATGCTGATTCTGATTTTAATGCTTATTTTAACCTATGCTGCGTGACATTAAAATCTACTTACTATTTACTAAACCTCTAGACTGAGCAAGTATGTGACAAAATGAGACATTAAAAAAAAAAAAAAAAAAAAAAAAAAAAAGCTAACTGTTAGTAAAACGTAACTAAAATGTCACTTATCTTCTTTCAGATATGTCCAATTATTATGAGTGTAAAATATTTAATGTTACTTGATAAATTTCATAAAATTAATTTTATTCTCAAAATATTAATGATTATGTTAATTAAGTTATGTTTAATAATAATGCATCCTACTCACGTTCAGGCATAGATATAATATTTTTAGTTGAATTTATTCAGTTCCCATTTCCTCATAGGTCCTTAATTTTTTTCATTAATGGTCCTTAAAAGTCCTTAAAAGTACTTAATTTCCTTCTGCAGAAATGTGTATGAACCCTTAGTTACGCAAGTAACCAATAAACTATCGACGGCAAACAGACTCTTAAACCACATATATGGGGTGAAGTAATATCATCTCCTCCGAAACGGATGGCTCCCGGGCTTAACGAAGCACACCGTTGGATTCCGCAGGTCCAGGGCAGGCCATTTTGACCAATTGCGTCTTCGTGATTCTTTAATTAGCTGAGATATTAATTAAAAACTAATTTTTCCCTATGTTTTCCCTACATTTTTCACTTTCTTTCTTGGGTTTTTGCTATTATAAGAGGGATTTGGCTACATGCCAAATTCTTTTTTATCGAATATCTACGGAACGGTGCGGAGTTGAAATTCGAGACGCATATCCTCAGATTTAAAAAAATTCTCCGAATCCATCGATATCGTTCTAATTTTTTTACGACTTTAATAAGCCAAGATATTAATTAAAAACTGCAGAAACATTAATTTGCGCACTCGTTTTTCCGAGTGGCAACAATAAACTATCGGCGACACACACTTTAGCTGCTTATATATATAAAGAGTATGCATATATATATATATATAGTTTTCCTGCATATTTAAGAATAGACAATTTTAAATACATAAACCATCTTGAGCAAAAATAATCTATGTTTAATGTTTTCCTATTTGATAGTATCGCTAAAAAACCATCATACCTTATTTTTAATATTTTAAAAGTGAAACAAACAATTGTTTCCTTTTGCTTTTTTTTTTATTATTGTTTATTTATTTTTGCATACTGCTTTAAGAAGTTTTTAAGTTGCTCACATTTAAATGTATTCAGTTAAAGTGATCAGCATTAAGTCTAATTCTAAAACCTCTGTCACATGTCTATAGCAAGAGTGATTACTCTATTCTCTTTTCAGTCATGCTTAATGGATTTAATTTTTTAAATATTCTTGAAAATTAATTTTTGTCATGAGTTTTTCTGATGTGGAAATAATCATTCTTTACTAAAATGCTGTTTCTTTATATCTACTAACGTATTATGTATTTGAGTTACACAGGCAGTAAACTGAAGTTATTATTATAATCTTAAGAAGAGACTTCGTGTAGTTGACATTAAAAGTTAGAAGATACTAATATGAAATTTAGTTTTTCAATGATGTTTCATTATTATGTAAAAAATATAAGCAAAGATGCATAATTTGCAAATGCAAATAAGAGTAAAGTTTATTTCAGAATAATTACAATCGTTTCAATATAAAGTTACATAATACTAATATTTCTTATATCGAAGTATTGCTTTTATGAAAACAGCAGTTAATCTTCCCCTTATAATCTACATTAAAAAAAATATTGTTGAGATGGAGATAGGAAAGGATAGAAAATTTATTTTTAGATGAAATTTGATAAGAGCACAAAAAAGGTCTGATTTCAGTAACCCTCAAGGCAATATTAAATTAATCTTGCAAATCAGAAGATATTTAAGAAATAATGGAAATTATTGTACTTGTATATAATTTACTGTTTTTCTGTGCACTGGGATACTGAAATCTTGAACAATCTATGTTCTATTTGGTGTTTAAAATAAACCAACCAATGAACCAACCAAATTGTTTAAATTGTTTAAAATGAACCAACCAATGAACTTTGAAAAATATACTTTCCTCACTCAAAATGGGCACTGTATTAAGACGAATGTAGTTTGGAAGTGATGAATTATTTATTAAAAAAATCAATCATACTTTAGCCCATAACTGAACTGGAGTTTTTGAATTATCATCTGGATATGCTGATTATTACACAACAAAAGCACCTGGGAAAAGTGACTTAATTCTTTGCAGTTGAGGGTCTTGGATTAGATAAACTATGGGCAACTTTTAATTTATCATATGAAGATTAATAGGAGATATATGAGCTTAAAATTCTAGAATTATGTTGATATAGGTGTAATTGTTATGTAATGTTTATAATATAGAAATTTTCATGTGAATTGAAATGAATAGGTCAAAAGTAACTTAAAAATTTGTGATGTATGGAGCTTTGGAAATGTAGTATTAAAATTTGAGAAAGCTTAAGAAATGCTACTAAATTCATAACTTTTTAAATATTTCTGAAACTTTGGTTTAATATTTATTCAAAGCTCAGAACTTGTTTTCTTAAGTATCCTTTATTCTGGCATTATATTGGGAAAATTTATTATATTTTTAATTATTATTATTATTATTAGAGAGCATTTTTTTTTTCATTGGTAGTTTTTTGGTTTTAATGACCTAAAAAATTTTAGATTTTACATTTATTTATTTGTTTATTATTTATTTTTTTTTTTTTTTTTTTTTTTTTTTTTTTTTTTTTGATTTTTTTTTTTTTTTTTTTTTTTTTTTTTTTTTTTTTTTTTTTTTTTTGTAGATGTCTCTTTCTTCCTATTTTAGATGATTATCTATCATGTTTTAAAAAAAGATCAAAAGTTATCCGAGATTGCTTTTGTTGATAATGATCTATACAATCGAAATGAAAATTGCACAATGTGTACTAACTTGTGGCAGGCTTCTGAATTGCTCAAAGATAAATCAGAATCACACAACTATGCAGAATCAGAAATGCCACTATCGTATGCTAGTGTGCACAGAACATAATGTGAGAGTAGTACCTAAAGAAATAAAATGCAGTTTATTAATAACAACAGATATCTTTACAAACTGTAGAAGTGTGAGAAGTTATTTAAGCTGCTTTCACAAGCTATCACTTTAGTAAGCATAAGTTAATTGTTAGTGCAGGGAATCATGAACATACTGGAAAATTCCAAACATGTCTTGGATAGCTGTAGCTATATAGATGCTACAAGATTCCCAACACTGCCCTTGGATGCGTCATATGCCAGAGTTTTCATATAACCACATAAAATTAATCAAGACTAGATAATTCTGTCCATTGTGCAGACCAGTGAACTGATCCCCCATTATCTAAATGTTTGTTTAAGTGTTTATAAATGCTATTGAAGAAAAAAGTGGAAGCCTGATTATACTACAACTACATTTCATAGCACAGCAGCTGCTGTAGACCTATCATTCATTCAAAAGTTCCTGTAATAGTATATATATAGTAATATAGTGTAAAATATCCTGTAATTCCATCTGTCCAGACAAATAGCATCAGCTAATTGGCTCTCAACAATGGCAGACCAAACATTTACTTAAATGTGTGTAATGTTTTCTCAAGATGACCTTTTGTGCAGTCTTACAGCTACCTATATAAAGCTGTCTACCACATGGAGATAATGTCTGACCATGCATAGCTATATGAATCTGTTTTCCCTTTGAGCAACCACCTTTCTTAGAAGTATGTATACATTGTACTGAAACTTCCTGTAGATACAATAATTTTAATTTAAAAATGTCCTTCTTTTTTCATTGGTGGTTATTTCATTGACACTGTGAATGCAGAATGGTAACCATAACTCTTCTTCATTGTGTATTTTAAAATTAAATAAAAAGATAATCTTATAAATTTTTATTGTAACCAGTTTTAATTTGTCATTTATAAATGCATAGGCATATTCTAAAATTCATAGAAAACTAGGACTGTAAAAAAAAATTCTGAAATAACATAATCTACTGTGTGAAATGATTTATTTACTAATATGGTTATTGTATGTTTTGTTAAATCAATCAAAGCACAATTATTTCAACTTTATTAATGCATTAAATTAAAACAAAAATATTAAGTCAGAAATAATTTTGTCATCTGAATTTTTTCAGCTGTTGTGTTAACTCGAGAATTTTTTAAACAGTACGTAAAGCAGTTTTCTGCTGAAATTTTCTTATTTTAATGGCTCTTGTTTTTCAAATTATAATACACAACATCAGAATATGTTAAATTCATTAAATAAAAATTATGCTATTGCAGATATTTGTTAGCAAATGAAGTTGCTAAAGATTTTATGAAAATTAAAAAGTATATTCATTTCCTGGTAAGTAAAGTTTTTAAAATTTGTGTGAAATTATGTATATTTAGTCAAAATAATTACTTATTATGCTACAAATTCAGTTCCTGAAGCTTATTTTTCTAATATTTATGCTCATAACATTATAAATTACATATATTTGTAATTTTTAAGTAACATATTAAATGAAAAACAATCATTCCTTTATATGGTAAACATTCAGTTTTATTATGAATTCAGTAGGAAGAACTAGTTGAAACAAAAGTGAACCTATTTTCTGTAATCTACAGAACCTTTTTGGTCTCTATAACTTTTGTACTTACTTTGCATTTATTTTATAGTTAAACTGTACTGTGTATATAAAACTTCTTCATGTATAAAACAAATCACACACTCTTAATTTTTGAATGTAATATTTATGTATTTGTTTACAAAACTTTCCAAAAAATTTCTACATTGAAAGTTGCACATTACACATACATCCACATGTATTGCAAATATTCTGTCTTTGGAAATATTGGTTGAATTAATCATCTCAAAATAAATTGTTTCAATAAATTCATATATTATGTATGATAAAATTCATATGCATTTATAAAAATAATAATATATAACAAATGGATTTTTCTGCAGTCCTTATGTAATTTATAAAGATATTTATGTATCATTACGTGACAAATTTAAGCATAAAATTTATATTGTGTAGTTATTAAACATTGAGATCAAAACTAAAAGTTCATCTGAGAATGGTATAAATATCTTGTCCTATATTTTGAAGTGTCTCATTATTATTTTTTTTTTTTGTATTTATGAATATATGAAGTAAATATTTTTATTTAAATTACAAAATAAACATAGTTTTCATATTAATAATTAAGATAATAAATTTTTGCTGTGTAATGTTTACATTTGAATGCTTCCATGAAATGTTATTATTGAAGCATATCTAATATCCTCTGTGATTTCCTTGAATCCCCCGGGGAATTAAAAAATTCTTCTCTTTTCAGGCAATGCAGGTTTGTGCATTGGTACACCGGAGTATCAAGTTGAACCTTGTGGAAGTAAAGACTTCATTTGTTTTTAACTAATATCAGCCAGCTCAAATCATCATAATAAAATGTTTGATTGATTGTAAGATCTGAAAGAAAGAGCTATCAGGCATAACCTTTTCATATTCTCTCCTCTGGGGAGGATATAATCTTCATTGTATTTAATTTCCTTGCTTCTTTAATTACACAGAGCTTAGAGGTTAGTTTTCATCTCACAGTGTAAGGCATGTATCAGAATTAATTGCTGTAATCAAGACACTGATTCTATGATACTTCATTTAAAAGACCACTAGTTAGCATTTCATTTAGATATAAGCATTGTCACCAATTCTTAAATGCAGAAGTGAATGAGAACCTTGATTCAAGTTAATTTACAAAACTTGGATGGTCTGCTGCATTTATGAATATATGAAGTAAATATTTTTATTTAAATTACAAAATAAACAGAGTTTTCGTATTAATAATTAAGACAATAAATTTTTGCTTCATGATTTTATAAAAATTTTTGTTATTCATCATTGACAGTCAAGTAGGTAAATTTTTTATTAATTCAAAAGCTTAATGATAAGTTAAAAAGTTCTGTTTTATCTACTGTAATATCCAAATTTTCTTGCTTTATAATGGCAACTAAAAGTCATTTGGAATGGTTTTAGTACCTGGAATATTGGAAATTAAGGACTACTTTAACTAGTATGCTAAAACATCATTAGATTGACATATACAAGATATGCTTACCAGCTTTGTTAGACAAGAAAACCCAATCTGATATTAATTTACATTAGTGTTGTAGTTTTCCTTCCTTTTATCTCTTAATTAAGTATGGAGGAACCTAGTGAACTATTAAGCAAATAATTGCTTAAGTCCAGAAACAGAAAGGTAGAATTTGAGAAGGGTTAATTACCCTTTATTGCTTATACTAAAGAGGTAAAGTGTAAAGAGGGTCTATTTCTCAGGATGTACAACAAAGCCTCCACTTGGGCTTAAAAATATAAGACATAAGAACTTAACTAATGACTAACAAAAGAGATTTAGCCGAAGCTGACACAATTTCTAAGTAGCATTAAGTTGTTGGTCCCTAATATTAAATTAGCTAGCGAAACTGTGAAGAGCATGTAATCTGGTTGAGCATAGTAACAGCTTAGAGAGATGTAGCCAAAAGGCAAACATGCACTATTCAAATACTATGATTCTCTTTCTCCAAGTCAGTGAAACTTCAATTTAAATACTACTCCTTCTCATTTGCATTTGGCCCATCAGCATCCGAGCAGTAAAGACAGTGAACACTGGTAGTTCGGTCCGAGGTTCGAATCCCGTGAACGGGCTGGCTGCATGGGCGTTTTTGTGGTTTTTCCCATGTTTAACGTGTATACGAGCCAGTTTCCCTTAGAAAGTCCTCTACAAAGGCATATCTCCCTTTAGGCAGATAGCCCTCGTGTGTTTTGCCATAATTGAATAATCCCCTAATCCTTAATCCCTCATTTGCATTTAGTGCGATTCTAAAAACTTATTCTGATAAGGAATTGTAAGCTGAAATTAGGAGAGACAGGAAAGGAGCTTTAAACTCAAAAATAACTGTCATAAACTTAGGATAAACCTTACAGTGTTAAAAAGTGGATAAACATGTTCTGAGAGAAGAAAAGTTCCTTCATTATCAGATGCTGTTTAAAATAAATAAATAAAAGGATTTAAGTGTATTTCTTTATTTTAACTTTAAGGTTCTGTAAAATTAAGAGCTTTCATGGATGGCATGTCGTGTTTTGCCAGCAATAATATAAACTGGGTGTCTTCCATTATTTTCTTCCCTCTCTGTTGGGTATATTGTTTTGGGATTCCTTATGTCTACAAGTTCTCTTGGGGTTCAGATTGTTGTACTCATAAGAAAGGTTTTTCAGGTGTATAGCATATTAAAAAAAGTCTTTTGCAATACAGCTTAATTAATCTTCAAAATTATTTTGTTTTTATTGTAATTTTTGGTCAAAAAGTTATTGAACCAGATCATCCAAATTTTTTAAGCTAACTTGAATTAAGGTTCCCATTCACTTCTGCATTTAAGTATTGGTCACAATGCTTATATCTAAATGAAATGCTAACTTGGGGTCTTTTAAATGAAGTAGAATAGAATAGTTTCAGAATAGAATAGTTTCATAGAATCAGTTTCTTGATCGCAGCAAATAATTTTGATACATGCCTTACACTGTAAGATGAGAATTGATCTCTAAGCTCTGTGAGATTAAAGAAGCAAGGAAATTAAATACAATGAAGACTATATCCCCCCCCAGAGGAGAGAATACGAAAAGGTTATGCCTGATAGCTCTTTCTTTCAGATCTGACAATCAATCAAACATTTTATTACGATGATTTGAGGTGGTTGATATAAGTGTAGTTAAAAACAAATGAAGTCTTTACTTTCACAAAGATTTCAACTTGATGCTCCTGTGTACCAATGCACAAACCTGCATTGCATGAAAAGAGAAGAATTTTTGGTAGAAACAAAACTGCCAATGGTTTTTTATCCACTGCTTTTCATATTTTATATTCTGGACCTTTTTCTTTTTTTAATTTCCAGTTTGATTCCCTGGGTAATTCAAGGAAATCACATACACTTCAATAATAATATTTCATGGAAGCATTCACATTTCATGTAAACAATATACAGCATGGCTAAAAAATAATCCTTCCTTTTATTAATGGATTTCTACCATAATTTTAAAATGGATGTAACATACTGTAACATGAATACTAACTTACTATAACATGGATGGATTTGTAGTGAGGTGCTCCACACATTGTGCTAAACATAACCTTCAAAATTCTTGTGTATCATTCAGCTATTGAAGTATTAGTACTGTTTGCAGGATTGACAAAATTCATTTGATGGTTTGTAATTTGATGGTAATAACCTAATTGTGTATGATCCGAACAGCGATAGATTGCACACGATATTAATACCAAGTTCCTTGTTGAGAGAAAAATACTTGAATTTTATATATCTGTTATTGGTGGAGAAGACAAAACAGAGACATGATTGGATTACCCCTTTAAACATGTATAATTTAAAATAAAATACGGACTAGATCTAGCAATATTCTGCTTCAGATTTTACTCTGAAATGCTGTATATTGTTTTGTAAGAAGAATTTTCCTAAATACACATTATTAAAAACTGCTTAGATCTAAAGTGAATACCTTATATCGTTGATCTCAAACTGGGGGGGGGGCATGTAACCTCCAAAGAAATTTTATGCATCCTATGAAGACATTTCAATTATGTGTTTGTTGCAATATGGTGCTGAATGAATTTCAAGATTTTGGTTACATCAATTCTGAGTTTATATTATTTTAACATGAATAACATACCAGAAAATATAAAGGGAGATAATTAATTTACAATGAGATAGAGACCTTATTCAAAGATTTGAAAGTACAGATTGTATTAACTTTTATTAATATTTATCAAAGAATAAATAAACACAGTTGCACATTTTTTGCACTAAGAATAAACGCTTTGTTGGGTAATACTTTTATATATGAACAGCGTTTTTTTTTTTTTTTTTTTTCACTTTTGAAAATCAATTAAAAAGCAAAACCTGATTAAGTACGGATCATCTGCAATTTGTCATTATAATTTCTAGTTGTATCTTTCCAAGGCTAAACACTTTAACAAAATTGAAACATCATGAAGCTTTATTAGGAAATAAAGGTATTTATAATCATTTGCATAGAAAAATAAGTACTCTTATTTATGCATTGAAGAAAAATTTAATGAATGAAAGAAAAGACTAAGTTTTATTATTTATTCTCAAGTTATGAACCAGTTGGTAAATTTTCTCTGAAACCTTAAAATTTTTATAATTTTTGATTTTTATTTTAAATGAAAGCAAATTAATTAATGGCTAATTAAACATGTTAGAATTATTTAGAAAAAAAGTCAGTCTGAGAATTTTATATTTAGTCATCAGTATATTTGAATTACTAAGTATAACCAACAAAAATATCATGCAGGTATCAAACTTTATATCTCAGATAGAAAATAAATATAAATTTGAATTTTTTTCCTTTGCAGTATTATTATTATTGTTTATATATGTTTCAATCAGTATTTAGTAAGCAAAAATTATTATCTTATTACTTAAATGTTATTTAAAATATTTTATTTAATTAGTAAAATATTTCATTTTATTAAAAAAAATATGGCTCATCAGCTATCTTCAGATAGTGTATTCGGCTTGCATGCAGTTTGAGTTCAGGACCATTACCTTACTTTTAATAAATCTTACTGTTTCCAGAACGACAACCATTTTACCTTATTATTCGACTGTTCAGTAGAACAATCGAATAATAAGATCCTAGTTGTTTTTCCTGCTGATTTCAAAAGCTTAAGATTTAAACAATTAGATAAGTGAAACATAATTTTCTTTATTGTCATTTTTTCCCCCTACATTCATTTTAGCTTCATTTAATTTACAGGAAACAAGGCAATCTTGCGCTTTGAGAAAACTGGAAAGTAGGCAAAATAAGAGATTTGATATTAATATTCACATTGCAAGAAGCAAAAAACGAACTGGTTTTAAAGCCTGGTGTTGTAAGCTTTATTTCAGCTCATGGTTTGAAACTTTAGTTATCATTATGGTTATTTTGAATGCCATTCACATTATTGCAGATCTTAATTTTGTCTTTAATCCTGCCAAAGTATGGCCTAGTGATTTCAGCAATTTCTCTGCCTTATGTTTTGTAATATTTTTCTGTGGAGAAGTTACAGTAAAAGTAAGTAATTTAAATTTAATAAAAATGATAGATTAAAATGTCAAATTGAAAATTTGGATTTGTAAGATATTTTCAAATCTCTTAGAAATAATGCATTGTTTCAGTGAGCAAGTTATTTTCTAATAACTGCAGTTTTTAAATGTTGTTAAGAAATGTTATGTGGTTATAAAATTATGCTTTTTAATAGCAAAATATTTTTAAAAATCTTATGCTGAGAATAATGACTAGCATATAAATGCATATGTTTTTTAATATTTATTTAAGGACAAATATAATTAATAAGTACAAGAAGGAAGTAACAGGAATATTAATATATTGTATACATTATTTAGATTAAATGTATATTACACATTTAAATCAAGCACTTAAAGCTTTAAGTAATTTGCTTTCTCTGGGCGTGAAGGTTGTTGTTAAACTATATTAGTGTTTAAATGTTTAAACATATATTTAAAAGTAATGAAAATATAAATTTAAACAGATTACCTGAATGGATACTGTAATGTCAGAATACCCGTGTTGGGTAAAAGAAAAGACAGGTTGTCTTTTAAAATATTTGTTTTGAAAAATTTGTGATTAAATATTAAAATAATTAAATCATTACAGTCATAATTCATACAAAGGCCGCTGACGCCGTGACGACGCTAAAATGCTTCTGCTTTCACTCGTTTACAGCATCAAAAAAGCTTTTTACACAAAGCTCTCTCCTTGTTTTTGTTACAACCTGGAAAAGAAACTTAATTAGTCCCTTATGTCTGGAAACCACACCAGTGGGGTTTTGGCTGCACCTTACTTCCAAAGGTGTGCTGTCCATTCTGTCTCAGCACCTGGAAGTCCGAGGGGTGCATATGTCTCAACGTCACAACTTCTACCCTCCAGGTGGGTGGGCAGTTTTCAGAACTCCATTCCTCCTACCTTACCACAGCAAGTCTTAATAATAAAACTAATAATTATTAGCACTAATACTCTTTTCCCACAAAGCTGGGCTAAGTACCAAGGATAAACATAACAAGAACTATATTGAGGCCAGTAAAAAAACATATAATCAACATAAAACTGAGAACTAAATTATACACATACAATAAAAGAACATATAGTTTTCTGAAATATGTAATATACAATATACATTCCAACTTTAACATTAATTATGTTTTGCTGAAAAAACAACCCTTGCAGATTTTAAATTTTCAGTATGTGGTAATCTCTCAATGGTAACCCAACACCTGAAAAAGAACTACTACGTTCGACCTCAAGATAATCCTTTTCCAAAGAATTACTGTGATTGTTTAACCCTCTGAGCGATATGACCGGGTTTAGGCGGTCAAGGAGAACTATCTCAAAATCGTTACGGACGCTTCTAGGCGGTCAAGGGAAATGTTTTCAAAAGCGTTGTTGATGGTTTTAGGCAGTCAGTGGCTATGATATCAAAAGCGTTACCAGCACCTTAAAGCGGCCGTGCGGATGCCTCAGTGCCCCCTTCTGGAACCCTGGAGATCTCTAAATGACAACTCTCAGTAGGAGTCTAAGAGGATTGCTCTTCTTCGTCTTAGACCGCTACGTTTTATCGCCAAGAAAGTGTTTAGACATACGACCCACTGACGCGAACATGCTTCGCTAAATAAATAAGCAGCATGTAAAAATTTCCCATTATTATCTTTAAACAGATAACATTTTCATAAAATATCCTTTAGATTTCAAACTAAATGTTCAGAAATATGCAAAATGCTTGCGAATTCAATTAAAAAATATCATTTCAAAATATTTGCATTATTTAAATAAATTTACTTATGATTATGTATATGCATAAAACCGGCAAGTTAAATACTTTCAATTAATTCAAGCGAACCGAATATCACTGCATTCAATTAACATGAATTACATGCAATTGCATATAAAGAATAACATTACTTAAGCAATAAATCAGACAAAATTTAGAAAATCAATAGTCTATTTTAAAAAGTTATAATAAGCGTATTCTTGATATGGGTTTATAAAACACAAACTTATTTAATAGTAAATATAATAATGGAAAATTAATTATTCTTTTTGGAACAATACTCGTTGCTTATAATGGTTTGCTGAAGTTTTCTTCTAATGCATTTTAAGTAATCCAATGCTTTTAATGTATATTGATATGAATGTGATTTTCATTAGAAAAAATTTTAATAAGTTTGATATTCTTGTGTGCTCATGCTTTACATAATATACATTGCTTTGCTGAACGCAATGTAACTACAAGCAGCAACGAAGAGTTGAGTAAAAATTTCCATATTTTGTTACGTAAATAATTAAAATAACCTACAGCGTAACATCTGAGTTTCCGAAATGTAACCCGCAACTTTTCTAGGAGTTACAAATTTGAATTAAAAAAAATAGCAGTAATTAAATAATAAAAACGAAATACTAATAAGAAAAGAAGCACGAAAGTTTTTTATGTTTGTTTAGTTTATTTTATTGTTTATATATATATATATTGTTGGCGAATGGTGAAGTTGTCGTAGGCAAATGACATATAATAAAGAAGAATGATCTGTATTATTTATTATTTAAAATGCATATAAATTTCCTCTAAAATAGTATCAGTCTTAGACTGAATGTTGTCTAAACAGCTACAATGATATTTTAACTTGATTAACATATCAAATACAGTTTTCTTTTAAATAACTTTGTCAGCAATCCGAAGAACCTTTTTGAATCATTAGATGATTTTGATTAAAACTTGGATTAATCCAATTTAAAAAATATTTAGAAATACCGAAATAATAAAAGCTAACCTTATTTTAATTTCTTTATCAAAATACTACATTCTTTAGTCAGCAAGAACTGATCATAAAATCTGAGCCTTATGCCCAAGATTCATAGGTCTAAGCAGTAAAAAAAGCTTGTCCCACTAGAGAATATTGTCACATATTATGGAAAAGATTTTGCAAGAGATCATTATTTTAGACAAATCATGACTTTTTAAATTTAATCTCTTATATTAGAAATCAAGTATTTTATCATAATTTTATTTTCACATATGCAGATGATCGCCGGGCCCTTCCATAGCATAAATTAAAAAAATACACATAGCAACTTCAACCATGAACATATAGCTTAAGAGAAATTTGTTTTGACATGCTACATGAAGGAATGACTAGTGATTAAAAAGGAATAGCTGTAGATGTGTAAAATACCTGTACTTGTAACCTTCTGTATTTCTAAAGGAAAGCTTAAAATGGTTCACAATAACGGATGGCTTTGATCATTCAGTAAAGTCATCATAGGTACATTCAATTTGCAGTTTTGAAGAACTGCAGTAGTTCAGATTTGTCGCAAAAGAGTACCGTATTTGACGGCATCTAAGATGCACCCTTGTTTAGAAGGCCACACACAAGGAAAAAGAGTTTGTCTATGTGTGTGTAGATCTTTATCCAGGCTAAAAATAGTATTCAGTATTGAAAGTTAACCTGTGTCCTTCATGTATAAGATGCAGGTAACTTTTTTGAGACCAAATTTAGGAAAAAAAGTGCGTCTTATATGCTGTCAAATACGGTAATTACACCCTTGGGGATATGCTTTGCTTACGGAACTGAAAAACAAGCTTTTAAACATACGCATACAAAAGACGTACCTTTTCTCACAACATAAATGGCAGATGTGATACTTTGAACACATGCTTTCAATCAGTTGCTTTCTCCTAACAAAGGTTCCTAGCAAAGTCTTGTACTGTTTTAAATATTCTGTGTTCGAGCATTGTGAATGCTTCCATTCATTATTTTTAATTTGAACAATATTAAGTTGCAATTACTGGTTAAAATGGCTTAAAATAAATTGATGCATTATGCGAAAGTTTGTAAAAATGAAAACTGGATTCACTTCCTTTCACATAATTTCTGACTAGCTCTTCCAAAATAGTTTAAAGCTTACTTTACAACATACTAGAAAAGTCTACATTTTGGGAAATGCATTTTAGTTAGTAGTTTTAATTGGGGTTGTTATGTAAGAAGACATTTAATTGTTGTTGCTGTCTTACAGTGCTTATTTTATTGTATAATATAAGTACTGTAAGGCAGCAATAATGCAAATATTGCTTTTCTTGTTAATATTATAATTCATCGAGGAACTCTAAAAAAGAACAAAAATAATTTTCACCGTTATAATATGTCTTTAAAGGGTTTCCAATAAAAGCATAGATAACTAAGTAGTAACATTAATAACATTATATCAATTAATTTACTAACCGAATATGATAAAAATTTTGAATTCGAAATCCGTCTTTAACTGAGTACTTTTCTCAGAAAGAAAAATATCCTCAAAATATCTGTACTGGTAATACATTTTTTGGATAACATCCTGAGAGGAATTCATTGATAACAGTAATATGTAGAATCCTTTAGGTACTTAAAGCCATGAAACAAGTAACGCACTCAGCAGAATCACACTCACGGTCGGTTCGGTTTTTTAAATATGGGAAAGCTATGAAGACTATCTACTAGGAGGGATGCCTTCGTGGAAGATATTCTGAAGAAAGCTAGCATATTACACATGAGGAAAACCAACCATGCAGTCAGCCCGTTCGCCTGAGATCGAACTCAAACCAGGCTGAACTGAACTGCCAGTATTCAGAGGTCTTGATGTTCAGAGTTCCAGATTCAGAGGTCCTGTTCGGCCATTGATGAGGCCTTGAACACAATAATGAATCTTCAGACTTATTCAGCTGTTAATTCCATATATTCTCCTTTCTTAAAGACTGAAATTCGAATCATAGATATTTCAGTTTACTAGTTGGATCTGCTACTACTTGCACCAACAGAGGACGCAAGGCAAAAACGGGTAAGTCTCTACAAATGTACCAGCACGACAGCATTATAAGATTTCTTGGACATCTTAACTTTGAAAATTATGTGGAATGTATTTTCAAATGGATATTATGTTCGATTATTTTTTAACTTGCTGATTCTAAACTGATCGTCGCTTTTTCAATCCAAAAAAATTTCGTACTATATCTAGATGCTATATAA